TTATTGTTAGGTTTTATTAATTTATTTTATAAAATTCAAATTTGGACAATCTAAGCGTTTTTTTTTATTATTTTAAAAGTTCGAAAAATACTTTTTTCTTTTGAGCTGAAAAATAATTTTAATTTTAAAAATCATTATTTTCAAAATTTTGCATAACCTTCGCCTAAACTCGGAGCTTGTCTTTACTATTTAATCATGTTTTACGTATAACCTATTTCGTTTGAATTCGTAAAAAATTTAAAACTTCGTACATGTATGATTGAAAAATGTATTTTTTTTTCTTATTATTTTATATTGTATTGGATTATATTTTTCAAATGTATATGATTTTTTCCCGTTTTAGTGCATTTATAGATTGATTGAAATTCATTATTTAATTAAATATTAATAAACAATCTTATTATTGCGGTCATTAGCGACCGCCCTAGCTAACTTAATATCCTGGATCCGCCCCCGCCTCTCTTAACATATCTTTCAAATTGATGACATTATAATACAAATCCTTATGAAAGAAAAATTATTTTAGAAAAACTCAGACAAAACATCCATCAAATGACAGTGGAAAATTGAATAAAAGTCGCAAAAACAGTGAGAAAATATTACAAATTGTAACAGATAACCATGTAAATTGAGGAATTCTTATTCCACTATAATTTATCAGGACAGGACATTATCACATTTAAACAATGAAACTGAGTTGCCTTAAATGTACATCTTGTAGACAAGTTTGTCGATCTCACAGGAATAGATACCATATTCAATGAACACAACAACATAGGAATTCAAACTGAAAATGTAAAGATATCTCGATTCATATACGATTCTTGCGGAGAGTTTTGCATGAACAGCAGGCTCCTTAATTAGCAGTAACAACATTTTGAAGCAATGACTCTAAATCTTTTAATCTGTATGGGCAAAACCAGTTACTGGGATGACAAAATTGATTAAATGATATCAGAAATATACAAGAATCTATATCGTTATCTTACCTGACTTCACTCAAGTCCGGGTAGATTGCTGCCGCCTCTTTAAAATCCTATATTAGAATAGAAAATGAACAAATTAGTCATTTAGTCGATCTTGAAGTACAAGAAAAAATTGATCAACTCCATTTTGATCTAGCTATATTTGTTTTTTCGACTCCTAGTGATTATCCTTATCGATTGTTAGTATTGAACTACCTCATCTATAAATTTAAGCTATTAAAAAGAGGGTAGGAGTCTTCAAAATTCTCGTTCACATGGAGATCAAAATTCTTTTTCCTCTTCAAATGCCTGAGAAATGCACAGTTTTTTAACTCCAGACTTTTGCTATTTTGGTATGACATTGAACCGCCTCATATAAAAGCTTATGTTGTTCGTGACACATTTCTTTGTTTAAATTTAGTCTTCAACGGCACAAAGTTTCATAAACAACTCCTAATCTAACTTGAGTGTGATAATTTAATCCACAAAAGGCAATGCGTTACCTGGTTAGCCGTGGACGACGTATGAGTAATCACACAGGACATTCCTGCTCTGGTTGCAGCCTGGAGAAAGTAGCCTACGTTAGACTCGAGTTTGAGCATAGCGCCCAAAGGGGGAATACTGATAGGCGGATATAGAAGTTTCTCTAGGTGAAAGAATAAGCAAGGAAAGAATATAAAAGTTTTTCATCTCATGAAAACTTATTTTCTCAACCTCCCCTAAGTGTCCCGAGGCCTAAACCATTAGTAGCAAATATCAGAAGGCATTCATATCATATTTCTAAATCAATCACTTCTATGAAATCAACCTGAAGTCCGATGATGCTGTCTTCTACTACCAAACAATCCTTCTCTGATACCCCCAATCTCTGTGAACCACAACATTTGTCACAGCACAGCACGGTTACACTAAAGGGCAGAATTATAAATCAGCGGTTTCCATCTAAGAAACTAGAGTGATACATAGCCACAACAAATACCTCAGCGGCTGTTATATAAATCAAAGGATCGGGTTTCTTTTCTTTCACGTCATCACCTAGAAAAGTACGAGAAATTATTTAACAAGGATACAACAATTATTCATAATGAGCTTGAGAGGTTGTGAGTGAAGAGACATGCATCAAAACTCAACAACCTTTGCCAAGGGTCGCAGCTTCTGTTGTCGCTCAATGTCGCCCTTATTTCGCTCAGAAACAGAAAGTCTGTCACTCATATGTTACTCGAGCGATAGCCTCACCGCTCGAGCGCTAAATGAGCATCGGAGTTAGATAATTTTCAGCCAGTTTTTCTTCTCTTTCCTTTCCAATTTTGGACAGCAATTTCTCATTCATCAGGAATTAAATTTGACATTCCAAATATACCACAACGATTTACTCGACGAGTAGAACGAGTTAGTCTTTTATTTCATAATTTGACTATCAGATCAAGTCCGAATATTTGACCGAAGTTGAAACGAAAGTCACTTTTTTATGGTTTTATACTTAACCAATTCCAACATCTAGCAATAGTTTATCTGTCAAAGTAACACCACATAAGCTTCTTATATACAGTCACTTTCAGAGGCAAAACAAGATTCACAATAATTGGAATGTCAATTTTTTCAGTAAGTAATTTTCCATAGTACACAAAGTTACTCTCAGATTGCTGAGCATACCTGCAAGGAAGCAATCAAGACCTTGGAACCGTTCCTATAACAAGATTGGAAAGAAACAATATTAGAGGTAAGATTGTGCTCGGGACTGGACTAGCTCTGGACAAACTTCACCTAGCTAGTTTGTATCGAAACAAGATTTTATGTGGCAAGTTCTTACATCTCCCATTAGGCTCGATTGAAAGATTATCCATGGAAAGGAACTATATGGCGTCCAAGATATAAGTGAAGGATATTTGCAGTTTTATATATGCTGAACCGCTCAAAAAGTTTGCAAGAAAAATTAAGGAAAGGTGTCGAGGAAATTAACTTATTTTAGTTCAACAAATATAAAAGGAATGATAGTACATGTTAAGAATAAAGTACATAAATGATACTGATGGATGGCTATCTATTTTAGAGTGATGCTATGGATACATAATTTTGTAAGTGTTATGTGAACCATTATGGCCAAAAATTATGTACCACTAGCATTATTCTTTATTTTATCATTTTCTTTATTAGTTCAGTATTTATATAAATTTAGTTCGCTTAAAATCACTAAACACAAAAAGTAACAATTAGTTTAATACAACAAAAACAATCTAAGTTTTATTTTAACAAATTCAAGTTCAGCTTCTCCTAAGAAAAATTATTGCATGAGAACTAAAAATTAGTTTAATGATCCCACTAATTCAAGCCTTGAAAAAAGTTCATGCACTACTAGTTTCAAGATTTATACAAGGAAAACTGGGGTTGTTAAGATCAAACTGGAGAACCAGTTAAAGGATCAAAATACTGAACATTTCCTGCAAAAAAAATTAAGTAAAATTAGAACTCTTACCATTCCAATGAGATTTTCCAAACACAGTATAACTGAACTTTTAGTTGCAGCAGAGCAAACAGCTAGCTTTTTACCCTACAAGATAAAAGGAAAAGGAAAACTCTGTGAAGAGAGAATTTCTTATGGAAAACTGGAATTCAACTAATTTGTTTTTCATATACAGAAAAAGGGAATGCATAATATCAATGGTGGAAATATAAGTAGTACCATTATACCCAAATAAACTAATGATGAAAAGGTGCAGGCCCAAACAATCATAATAGCATTACAAGTTAAGATTCATCTTACTGCAGCCTTTGCCTCGTCCATCAACCTCAAAACACCCGGTCTAGGCTCAACCTGCCAACGTAATTACAATGCTCATTGTTTCAATTAATTATTACAAAGCTAAAAAAGAAACAAATAAATAAAAATTATTTCTCACATCAACAATCAATTACTACATGTGTTCCCTTACAGTTCCAGACTTGATTATTTCTTTGTACCTCTCAGTCTTCCAGTCCTGCACAAAGTATCAAAAGCTTTTCTCCATAAATTCTGCATCTTTCGAAAACGGCAAATGGAGCCATATGCTTATTTAGCATACCATATACTCATAATAGACAATTTCATTTCGACAAAATATACCGATATGCATACAAGTTAACAGTACAACAGCATACATGAGAATGCACATAACAAATAACTCGAAGGTCAGAACAGGGATGACCAAATAGTTAGAAGTCCTGCAGAACATAATCTGCATACATCGTAAACACTAAGAATTTTTTCTATCTATATTTATGACCTGCTTCCTAATACAGGATGCCCCAAGAATCGAGCCTCTTTGGTGGATTCGTCCTTCTGCTCCTCGGCCTACAGGAACAGCCGTTTCCAGCTGTTGGTCCTCCCCCAAGGGCGTTACTGACTTGTTACCACCAATAATTAGGTAAGTATGCAGCTCTCGATCTAGATCTACTGCTTCAACAATCAACTGAGCTGAAGAAATCAGGTTAAGACATCGACTTATACAGGAGGGAAACCTGTCTTTAGAAGTCAAGAGGTCTAATTTTTCTACATTAAACCAATAATAAGGTAAGTATACAGCTCTCGACCTCAACAATCAACTGATCTCAAGACTTCATGTTAAGATGTTGACTTATACAGGAGAGGTAAACCTGTCTTTAGAAGTCAAAAAGTCTACTTTTCCCACAACACACTGTCACGTGCAAATATACACTTTGGTGGAATAGAATTGCAACCTGAGAATCTGAATTAATATGTAGTTGTTTCAAAATTAAAATAATTTCCCAATTCTAATGCCGAATTCCCTGAGCACGTTGTGTTTCTGGCCAAGACTTATATGCTAAATTGTAGTATGATTTGAGAAAGATAAAATATGGCTTCACTACATGCACATTATACATAATTCAAAACAAAAAATCAACTTAAGAAAATGAAATATTCTCCTGTCACTCTTTCTTTATGCACTAGAGGCTCATGCTACTTGGGTGGCGTCCCCAGAAATTGAGCATCTGACCTCCCTTTAAGGAAGTAAGGGAGGTCTTAAGGCCAAGTTCATGCATTTATATGCTAGTCAAATTCAATCAAAATCTGTAGGAATTTACGCGAAATCCAAAAATGGATACCTGAAGAATGTCAATCAACTTTGCTCTATCGTCATCAGTCTCCGGAGCCGCATCAAAAACTTTCGAAGTCGGCCAACCATTCTCTTTAAAATACCTTTAAATAAAGCAATGAAAGGGAAAATAACACCCCCATTTTCAGCAAAAATAAACGAAAACAAGAGCAAGAGCAAAAGTGCAGGCAGATTTCAACAATAGAAAAGGGGGAAATCAGATATAACCATCGCATTTTAGGCTTCCCACCACCAATTTGATTCTGAAGCACATCATAAAACTCAGGGCTCCAAACGAGGGACTGAGAGGAAGACGAAGAGGGGCAGCAGACATTGAAATGAGTAAAGGCATCATTGTATGCTTGGCGATGGAGGTGTTCGGATTCTAGAATCACACCGTCACAGTCAAATATCAGAGCGTGTAAAGCACGAGATGAGGCCGAGACCGAGAGTCTGCCACCGCCGGCTGTTCTGGGGTAGGTTTTGATAGAGAAGAGAGGTGTGCGTGAGCAGAAAGAGAGAGAGTGAAATGGATGAGGAGGCAAAAGGAGCATAGTGGAAGAAGCCATGGATGGTGGAGGAATTGGGGTTATCCTTTCAGTCTATTAACTGATATAACGACCTTGGAAGAACATAAATATCATTTTAATTGGTGCATTACCGTTTTTTATACTGTGAGACTTCTTGTCTGAGTCATCGTACTTAGCCCCTGTTTGGTAAAAATTAAAATTTTAATTAAAGTCAAAATTAAAAACTAATTTTAACAAAATATTTTACGGGATCAACAATTTTTTAATCACAAACTTCATCAATTTTTATCAAAATATACTAAAAAACTGATTTTAATCTCCACCAAACATGAACTTAGTAATATCAAAATGGATCGAGCAATTTAGTTCGCGATAATTTAATCTATTAAAATAAATTGAAATGCCATACTAAATCAGTCATGCCATGTTATATTTACTCAATGACTCGCTAGGATTGAATGTGCTCGAATTAAAAGATAATACGAAATTAAAAGGATTGTTGAGAATTATGATACCTTAAAACTATAACGATGTGCATACATCTAAGATTACAAGTAAATTGCTTTTTACTTTATGTAGATAATTTAAAGGCGCAATTTGTTGACTCAACAACGAGAATATTCAGTTTTTCAATCGATTATGATTTAATTTTAAATATTGTTAATCCCCTGTTTGGCCCCCATTTTTTGGGGTTGAAAATTTGTAGAATAATGATTGATGGGAGAATGTGTGATGAAAAAGTTTTAGATTTGTGTGTAATATTATTTTATTGATGAATGTGTAATTGAGATGAAGAGAGAGAAAAAATTAATGTAATAAAATGAGAAAAAATGGGGCTCAAACGGGGCTAAATTATCAATAAAATTACAAACTACCCAAAGAGGTGTTATCTTAGACTCACACGTGATGTTGTACTAATTGCTAGTCTAGGAGTGATATTTTCAAGAAACGCAAAGACACAAGTTTGTAGGATTGGGTGGTGTCTAGTTCCGAAGATTATAGAATACTAATAGAAATCATATAAATAGAACCATCGATTTCAAATATAATAGCACAACTGAACTGTTTGGTTCCCATTTTAAAAACCTAATTTCAAGCATCTAAATTAGCTTTATACAACCAAATAGAAATTCAATCGCTTTGGTTTCTGACTTTTTCTCCCAAGCCGTCTTAATTGCACAAATCACTATTTCAATTTTAAATTCAGCGACTGTTTGGACGTCATTTTGTACAAATTTCAATAAGAAATCAAGTCGTTATACAATCATGCTGACCCAATTGTTGTAGCCATTATTGACTGCTTTTTACAAATCAATTAAATAGACTAAGAAAAAGATCATTGTGTCCCTTAATTTTTTTTTCGTTCAATCTTTAAGCAAGGCATTTTTGGGATTCCGAAATAGAAAAATATAGCTACTTTTTGGTATGTCGATGATTACGGTTGGAGCTAGGTCCACTTCACTGTTCATAACGGTCGGATTTTGTATTAAAATTTGAAAAGAATGGTGCCCAAACATGCGCTTGAAAATTAAAAAAACTGTACTTTGGATTCACCTTAATTAGGGTTTATAATCATTGCCCTTAGTTAGAGAAATAATATTTTAAAATTTTTATTTTTAATATTTTCTAATCAAGTCAAGAAACAAAAATAAAATTTGTTCATAAGGAGCTTTTTATCATGGTCCGGAACAACGAGACGTCCATTATCTCAAACAAAGCTACCTTTTTTGTTCGTCGAGCGGGGAACCTCTGAGTTTGGGTTATCTACGTAGTTTGAACACCAATGAGATCAGAATTTGGTCATAAAGAGTAACCCCTATTATTCTATAAATTTGACATTAGACAATATTGGACTTACAGAAAGTGATTGTTAAATTAAATTCGTCAAACTCTTTCCAAGTTTTCTACATTTTCATTTTCTCAGCTTCTTTCATATGAAAATTGCCAAATAGAGCTAGAAAAATAAAACAGGTATAAAAATTGTCCAATTTCATTTTTTCATGTATTTAGTGCTATTTATGTAAATTTTTGAAGTACAGACTTATGCTCGGGATCTTAAATTACATTACTGTCCAGTTTACTTTTCACTTTATGATTCTTTGACACACCGCATTAAATTAACATATCCAACTTTCTTTCACTGCCACTTGTACTTAAAAATTGGTGTAAAATGATATTTCAATGAATCATTGGTAAATAACAAGCCGGACAATCAATTTTGAACAGCAAATCTCAACTCCTCCGGGAGAGTCTCCATTGTTAAAAAGTATATTCTACAATCTATAAAGCAAAAACTTTGAAAGTACTCCAACATGTTGTTTGTATTTAATTTAACACTTAATTTTACTACTCGCAAAAAATATAAATTATTTTTCTATATTTTATTTTTAATAGCTTCCATCCTAATTATTATATAATTTTCCTCTATTAAAAATTGAAATATTTTTATGGGAAAAATTCAAAAGTCGGGTGTTAACTTTGACACAATTCAATTTTCAAGTGTCAAGTTTCAATGCAAACTCAAGTATTTATTTATTAATTTTCGTCGGTCACAAATTTCAAAATTAATTGGTCACGGATCAAAATGTATAGGTGACACAGTTACAGATTTCCAAATTAGTTGGTCACAGATTATTTCACGATCACAGATTATATAATTTTTAGGTCACAGATAACAAAATGGTTGGTCATGAATTATATTTTTAGTCACAGATTACCGAAATTTAAAATCACAGATTATATTTTTAGTCACAAAACCAAAATCACCAGATTCGTCAGATCCTCCACCTGCACCACCGTCGACTGCCACCACCATTGTCAACCCACCACACACCACATCTGATCAAATACCACCGCACACCGACATTGCCGCTACCACCGCAAGCGAATCTGACCAGCAACAACCGTGGTACAGACTGAAACGCAACCACAAACTACCAATCACCACCACCGGCAACACTGCCAAACAACACCCCACACCACCTCACAGCACCCACTACACACCGTCGTCACCACCACAAAAAAAGCAGGTTCCCATAGAGCCCCTACGTAACTGTAGTAGCGACGAGGGCGATGCCACTGCAAACTCTCACATCGCCTGCTGTGAGGGCGAAGCACAGCAGCGACGATGCCTCTGCGATACCGTTACGATACTCTCATATCAAAGGGCCTCGTAGTCGTAACGGCGTTTGGAGGTGTCTCTGGCGGCGGGTGCTCCTATCAAACTCTAGCAGCGACGAAGGCGATGTCGTTGTCGGCGCTCACATCGCCTGCTGCGAGGGCAGGCACAGCAGCGACGAGGCCACTGCTCGACCCTCCGACGACGAGAGCTCCTCAATAGCGATGACGATCTAAGGGTAGATGAAAATGGAGAGGGTAAAGAAAGACGAGGAGAGAATGAGAGGTAGAAGAAAAATGATTTAGAGTTTGAGATTAGATATGGTAAGTACAATATTTAATTTTTAATTCAATACCTGAATTTTAATTAAAGAATTTTCTCACCTGATTTTTGTACACTGAAGTTGAAATACCTGGAATTATGTAATTTCCTCTATTTTGAATGTATTTAATTATAGAAAATGGGCTCTCCAAAGCCTTCTAAATTTGGAGAGTTAAACTCACTTTCTAAACTAAAATATTAATTAAAGATTTAAAGAGTCTCTTAAAACATAATATTAAGAATTAACTCTATAAAATAAAGAGTATCTTAAATTTAAAGAGTCTTTTAGATAAATTAGATCACTTATTTTTAAATTTTTTCAGTTAAGTTATTGTATCATAATTCTTGCATATCTCCAGATATTTTGAAGATAAATTCAAATCGTAAAGTTTGAGATGACCCATAATTTACACCTCAATAAAAAGTCATATGAACGTTCACAATCCCTAAAATTGGGTTCAAACCTTTCTCCTCATTTGTCAATTTAATGTTTTTTTTTTAATAAAAAACACGAGTACACACTAAGCACTTGTTTGAGCCTCATTTTTCTATTAAAATGAATTCTTGAATAGCGATTTGACATCATTTCAACCACCTATTCAAAATTTTTCCTTATTTTTTTACTACACACTTTCCATCATAGCACTATTACAAAATGCATTTTTTTTTTTTAAAGGGGATCAAACAAACTCTAAATTTCTAAAGTAAATGCTTGAAAATTTAAACATCGAAGAAAAGTTCCAAAAAAAAAATCATGTCTCACAACTGCAAGCACCTACTACGTTGCCAACACACCACGTGTGATGTCCAGGTGTGCTCATCACATCAAGCATCTCACACACAAACAGTCGTCGATTCCAAATCAACACAGACAGTAAGCCATGCACTTTAGCCAAATTTCAACACAAACAACATCGGGGAGGAGGAAGAGAGGCAATAAGATCCAAACCACTCAATTAGCACATACGGATTATGGACAAGAAGATGTTATCGAAATTTGCAGTGCAACAACTACAATTGTAGACATGGGCGGACCTAGGGGGTCCNATAACTGTTTAACTTTTATCAAAATTTGCTAAAAAATTAATTTTAATCTCCACCAAATAGGGGCAAAATCACAATAAATTTGAATTTCGAAAACATGCTAATTTTAAAAATTCTCTGACGATCGTACGCTAATTGAATTTACAAATTGCTTATGTCATCTCAAAACTTATTTTTAGAATTATATTATGGGCATATCGAAAACGTTAAAAATACGTTAAACGTGTGTCTTAAAAAAAGACGTCTAACTCTCATTTTTTTAAAAAATTCAATTATTTCATTAACATTTATTATTTTTGCGATACAAATTTCTCAATGTAATTTTCATTATTTTATTAGAAAATTTTATATGGAATATGACATGAAAAATTTTCAAAATTTTACATTCGAAAAAGTCATATCCCATGTAAATTTTCGAATGTAAAATTACATGGGGTATGGTTTTTTTGGACGTAAATTTTCGATTGTAAAATTTCTCCCAACTTGTTTGTAAGTTCGATTGTGCCCCCCTAACTTTTAAGGTCTGCGTCCGCCCCTAATTGCAGACACTTACTAAGAGTGTTGTATGCGACAAAGTTCGACTAATTAAATATGATATAGATTAAAATTTTAATTTTAATATAAGTTAAATTCAACAATTAATTTTGATAACATATCTTGTGAATCTCACAAATTTTAACCACATATTACGATTTCAATCAAAATCTGTTAAAAATTTTTAATCTCCAAGTGACATCTCGAATTCTTTTCTCATTAAGGCCCTATTTGATAGCCTCTATTTTCCTTGGAAGTTAGAATTTTTTTTCCATTTTCCACCTTTTTAATTGTTTGATATGTATAATTTTCTTGAGAATTGGTTTTCCACCTGGGGTGCTCACGTGACCTATTTTCTTGGAAATTGATGAAAACTTTTTCCAGGCTGCTGCTGTGTTTTTTTTTTTTAATGAAAACAAATGTCATAACCAATTTTTTTAAAAAAAAACACTTTAATGGACAATTTCCATGTAAAACAAGTCAAACGAACACTAAATTTTGATGAAATAAATGATTTTTTAGGAAAAAATCTTTTTTTTTTTTTACTTTTTAGCAATGGAAACAAATTTTATAATCAATTGTGAAAAAATTTATCACTTCAATGAACAATTTTCATATAAAATAAAGTCAAACGAACACAAAAATTTATAATTTTTCGAGTGGAAAATTTATATCAATCAAACACACTTAATTAACAATTACCTGTAAAATAATTTTTAGGCAATTACTTTCCCTAAAATTCATTTTTTTTCATCAATTTTTCACTTTTACAATCAAACGGACCATAATATCTGTGCAAGTACAGAGCCTCCTTTTGAAACAAAAATAGTAATGATCCATCTACAAAAGAGCACAGTAAAATCAAGAATTCTCACACACCAATCATCCATTCAATTCTCAGTCTATTCAAACAGCTTTTAATCAAAAAAAATCTACGGTGGTGCGTCACTCAGATACACGTAAAAGTTTCAAAGTACAAACAATAATACAATTTCTCAAGCACCTCACGTTTTCACAGGAAGGAAAAAGAGAGTATCTTTCCTGCATATAAACACACAATTTGGATCTTGAATTGCTTTGCTCTTTTCACTCTCAGTCTCTTTCTCTAACTCTAAGAGAGACAATTATCTTAGAACCCTTTATTTTAGGCGGATAAATTGGTCTGTTTTTTCACAGATCCAAGAGTGCGAAAAGCTTGGTAAATATGGGTTATCTATGAATGGGTTTCTTGAATATGTATTTGTTTAATTTCTACTTTTGATTTATGGGCAATAGGGCTGTGTGTATTTGTATGTTTAGCTCTGTTTATAGCTGTATTTTTCAGCATTTTCTAGCCATGGCTGATCTATGCATTTCTTGAAATTTTGTTATATAATTTTGTGGGTTATGTAATTTTACCCAGTTTAGCCAGATTTATGCTCTAAATTTTTATAATTTCCCTCAAATCCGATATGTTTTTATTTTATAATGTAGTTTTACCATGACTTTGTGCCTTTTTTCTCTTATATGTTGCAAAACTCGAGAATTTCTTGAGTTGCTTATACTCTCCCCTCTTTTTGGCCTAAATGTTGTTTAGATTCGAGGTTTGGAGGGGATTAAAATTTGATTTTCAGTGGATTGTGATAGAAGTTTTTGAAATGTGTGGTTGAAAAGATGTGGACAATGAAAGATGTGGTCAATATTGATTGTTTGACTTTGACTTAGATTAAAATCAGATTTCAATCAAGCCCAAACGGGTCCTTAATTTTGATTATCAGCTTATATGTTTCTTCGTAATGTTCCAAGGATTCGGTATTAATTTTCTGAAATTGAAGGGAATAGACTATTTTGGTTAATGTAGTATTGAATTTACATTGGGGGCGTTAAAATTGTACCAAGTTTAGCTTCTTGATTTTCTTGGTCATCTTATCAGGAAAGTAGCTAAAGATACATGGTGGATGGGAGCGACATTCATCGCTGGGATGAACTAATACCCGATACACTTGGGCTAATATTCAAGAATCTCTCACTTTGTGAGGTACTAACGGTAGTACCTAGGGTTTGCAAGTCATGGAAAAGAGCAGTAATGGGGCCTTATTGTTGGCTAGATATAGACATTGAAGAATGGAGCCGTAACTGCAAGCCTGAAATTGTCGACCGAATGGTTCGACTGTTGATTCGTAGAAGCTGTGGTGCTCTCCGTAAACTTTGTGTTTCCGGTCTCTCCGGGGATGAAAGCATTCTGTTCATTGCAAACCAGTAAGTATCATGTGAACTCATCGCATTTCTTCGTTTATTGATTTCCTGGGATTTACATTAGAGTACTATCTACTCATCATTGTCCAATTATTTAACTTTGGTTTGAATTCTAGAAAGGTTTGAGTAATCTTTGACAGGGTTTAGAGATTGTTAATCTGCACTTCACATTTTGAATTATGTTCTATTGACTATGTTTTGGTTTCAAGTGCCAAATATTTACAGACATTGCGACTGCCAAGTAGTGAAATAAATGATTTGATCGTGGAAAAGGTTGCCGGCATGCTACCCACAATTACAGTTTTGGATTTGAGTTACTGCAGCAGCATAGGAGCTCAAGCTCTTGAAGCAATAGGGCGGCACTGTAAATTTCTTACTAGTTTGCGGCGAATAATGCACCCACTGGAGGCGATCCACAAGCTTTCCCAAGATGATGAAGCCCTCGCCATTGCTAATACAATGCCCCGACTCAGGCAACTTGAGATCGCCTACTTGCTTGTCAATACGGCAAGCGTGATTGAGATTCTTAAAAACTGCAAACAGCTTGAGTTACTAGATGTACAAGGTTGTTGGAGTGTAAACTTGGACAAGGATTTTGTGAAAAATTTCCCGGATTTGAAGGTGATCGGACCCCTAGTTGTGGATTGTTATGACATGACTGGCTGGGATAATTGGTCGGATTATTCAAGCACTTCCGGTTACCTAGCCTGGGATTTTGTCGCAGGGGAGATTGATGATGAGATGTTAGATGACTTTTGGGAAGATGACCATTTTGTGGGGGACTTTGAAATGTGGTTTTACGATGATGTTAATGCTGTAGACGAGGGGTACGACTGGCCTCAATCTCCTTGAGGTACGAATAGTATAGTTTTTATTTGTTCATTCGACCTACTGTTCTTCCCTCTCTGGTGTATGCTACTTGAGCTTGCTACAAGTCCGTATGCTGCTCTCTGTAATATAGTTATGTACGAATTTGGTTGTGTATCTTGCAAATAATCAAATCAGAAATACTTTCTATTTCTGACTTCTACTATTTTAGCTTTTGTTTGGCAAACTTATTTGAAAATCATTTTTCCTCAAATATTACTTTCAACCACATTCTCCCAATAAAATAATATCTCACAGTCATCCGGTCGAGGAAAACGCACATAGTCGCAAGTATGGTGCATAGTAAGGCTGATATTTGACGGTTTTCTCCTTTCTGAGAGCATTAAAAGATTATCAGCAACATGGAAAAAAGGAGCAAACTTCAAGATATCCTGAGTTTATGATTCATACTACATAGTATTGGATAAGTGGGCATTACAGTAAACAAAATTTTTGTTTATTTTTCTTCAATAATACTTGAACAAATATGTTGTAAAACAATGGTTGTAATAGGGAAGGCATACAAATGGGGACTTGATTTTTATAATTAATATTGATCAAAATTAATAGCTCCTGTTTTTAGTAATTATGGATTTCAAATTCGGCCAAATTCATTATGATCAAATGTAATTCTACAAGGAAAATCTGATATGTTACAGCAGTTTTACACAACATATATCAAAATACACCAAAATCAATTTATTGATACAAATACAGTAGCTTCTTGCAAATATCAAGAAAATCTTTAATTTCATTTCCATCTTTCCTCCTCCAAAAGTAATCGTTTGTTGACGAACGGGAGCGAGCATTTTAATCTCGTAAAGTAGTCGAATTTCAAGCATAAATGTCTAACCCCAAAATACCAATGATCTGACGCCTACACTCCCAGACAATGAGAACTTGAGTCCAAGTTTCTACTTTCTGCTGAAAATCTAGGCTCTATCATTGTTGGCTTCCTTCTGCCTGGCCAAAGTTTGGAGTTGATTTGTTTCAAAATGCAATGCTCCGTCGACTGCTAAATTTGAGGCATCCGATGCATTCTGATCTTGTTTTGTTACACGTTTACTCTCCCACACCTTCCCTGTTTTCCCAATTGCAAGAATGAGTTCAAGCTGTTTTTGCTGCTGCTCCTACATTGAACTCAAATGCGTAATAGACACCACATTAGTGATTACAACTCATAAATTTTAAGGGAATATGGTACTTGTAATTATCAACATAACAGGCAAAATTAAGATTGCTCAAGTAAATGATGCTGAAACTATATATCTGAGCAATTTTAGAACAGGTTCCCCAAGAATTATTATGACACAAGGTCTCAATGCAAAAGGTTTTACATTTATTGGTTTTTTTAAGGGTGGGGGCTACGTTAATCTTTTTCCACCACTGCATTACGTTCATTATCAGTTCTAGATCTACTCGAAGATTAAAACAATTACATTCTTAGCAACCACAACATGCACAAAATAAGAAAAGGGCATTATTTTGTCAATTTCTTTCAGCTGGACTACAGAAATCTGCAAGCGAGCTAACAGTTTTTGGTAATCCAAACAGCCTAAAGTAACTTCTTTTAATTTGACAGACCTCACAAAAATTACCGAAAATATAGTCAACCTAGCACTCACATGTTCAACATTTGAAAAGTAAAAGAATGTGAGATTATTGTGATTTTTTGAGATGCCAGGACAAGAAGTTTTCAACTTTCAAATCATCAAATAGTACGTCATTTCCCAGTAAGAACAAAAAGGAAAGAACTAGAAAAACAAAAGACTGTACATGCCAAAGTAAAATATGATCATTTGACTAGTGCAAATGAATACACCAGCAGATTGAAAAGGAGCTAGCCTTGACCAATTACCAAGGGAAGCTGCATAGAAACATAAAAATGTCCTGATCTTGTAGGAACAAAGTTAACAGACCCTTCGCTGCAAGGTTTGTATCTTAGGCAACAAGTGATATATCTTTGAGCTTTCCCACAGAACATTAAAGCACAAATCCTTCTGATAGGACATCTCTGAATAGTAAAAACTCACTATAAAACTCCTTCCAGAATGTCGGTTAGATTAATCAAGATAAAAGATTGGGGGGTTGATTACTGTCTCTCTAAATGAAACTGTCCCCCTGGTTACTAGCAAATTGTCACCAAATCACTAGGGCTGTCAATTTTTATGAAGCACCATCCATATCTTTGAATGGGATACGCCTGTCAAAAATATTTTAAAAAACTATCCAATATAGTTGGTTCGATGGTATGGATTCAATGATTTGAAAAAGGACAAAGGGGACTGTCAATTTCATTCTTTCAACCAAACCACGAAAGACAAGTAAAATTATCCTGTGCCGTTGTTAAGATGTAAGTACCAACACTTTAGGTCGTTGTGTACAAAATATGAGGCATTTAATGAAACAAAGTCAAAACACATGCTGCCTGTTAACATCAGAAAAAAGGTACCATATTGAGGCTAGCGTCTTTTTTGCTTTTTCTAATTTTAACATCTGCCCCCTCCCACAATTATCTTGTGGAAGCAGGACTCCTATAGAAAATATGTGATCATATAAATGCTACAAAATACTAGATAGAAGTGCTTGGTTATAGAATTATAGGGATCTAAAGGTAATGGTTTGAGTAATTTTAGTTTGTCATTCAACATATCTTAAATGAAGTGCCTGGAATCATAGGGTGGTTCTCTTTTAGACTCTTCAAACCATGGAAGTATTTAAATCAGGAATTTGAAGAGAAAAGAACAAGGAAAGATTGACTATAAGCCATGGAACCTCAACTTGGTTGCAGTTCAATAAATTAGAGAGGAAAATTTATTTCCAAGATAAGATACGATAACTTTATATATATCAATTACAAAAGCGATATTTGATAAAAATATGAGAAAGATGTTTCAAAGTCCAATTTCTCCTTCTTGGACATATCAAAACTTTTAAGACCATCAAATTTGATTTTCGAATATTGTAGAAAGTATAAATTCTTGAATATATACTAACTTCTCCTTTTATATTGAACTAACCATTTTCATTGCCTATATCCTATTCCACTAATTCTACACGCAAAGTTAATAATTTTATTCGGGTCTACTTCTAGTTCAATTATAAGACAGTAATGAACAAATATATAAAAATTAGTATCTTTCAACAACCAGCGGTAGGGATGAAACCATACAAATATGATTACTGTAAAATATCTACCTATTTCAATTAATGAACCAAAATATTTTCATACGATGCTAAGTTATGTAGACAGCTATTGCCAGTTATATACTTCAAGATTAAAATAATAAATTAAGTAAAATTGAATGTTTAAAAAAACGATTCAACCGAAAAAAGATTCAAAATAGATATAGTATCAACAAATTTTGCAACGTTATAAGAATTCATCTTTAAAGGGCCAACTTGGACAGAAGTTCTCAATGAAGAAAGGGAACGTTGTGGAAACATTCACAAAGTAAAGGCTCTTGTCTTGATCTAAACATGTCTCTAGGAGTTAGTGGTCTAAGATGGACGAAATTGGGGTAATTTTTCTAAATGGTATAAATGATTAATTTTAGAAGTATCTTTCTATCATATCAACAAAATGGCAGAATAGAAAGTAACTTTTTTTCCTGGCCACTAAATGACCTAGTAAACTGAGATAAATCTGGCTCAGTTGAAGGGCTCCTTGTATGCTTCACCCACATCAAGCAGTTAATAGAATTATCAAATTTTTGACACATGAAGTGATAATATTTTAGTTTTGAACATCCAACAGCAATCAGCATCTTTTCTTAATTCACGAGTTCAATATGACAATATCTACCTGCATAGCCAGCAGAACCTTTTGAATTTCACTGAGCTCCTTCTCCAGAATGTCTCCGTGCACTGACAATGATCGAATGGCCTCAGAGTTCTTCTGGGCCAATGCTGCGCTCTGTATATGACAAGCAGAAATTTAAGTCCCAGAATGTTTGAAGATCCCTATACAGATCCCCCAGGCCTGAACCCCAGGAAAAACAGAACATGCATGCAAATGAGTTTTCGACTACAAGAGTAATCAACAAACTAAAGATCTATTTTATAAAGAAAAAATTCAGTCTTCAGCGATTCAAAAGGGCAGAACTTTTCAGAGGTCATAGGCAACATATTTGGTTTCTTCTAAATAGGACTTATTTAGGTTATTTTTGTTAGTAGAAATATGATTGTACCAACTCATTTAGTAATTCTTATTTTGTTGAAGTGAACTTTTGGTTTTGAAGCAAATACAGCTCATCAAAAGAATGACTAAAAACCAAATGCCTTGCAATTTCTATAATGTAATTCGTACTTAATCTTCTAGTGGGAGTACCCCAAATTTCTTCAAAAATTTAAGAGAACGTTTTGAAAACTTGAGAAAGTTTCCAATTTTTATGTTTAGTAACCTCTTGGAAAACACTAGGGAAATTCAGAAGAATTTTAGGAAAACTTCGAAAATATTATGTTCCAAATTGTATAACCTCGTTAAACTAAACTTTAAACAAACCAAATTAGGCCAGGCATTCGATCAATCAAAATAAAGTAAAAAATGGTGTTTTGAGAAAGGGTAAAAGGTTTACATTGAATTTGTCTAGAGAGAGAAGCAAAATGAAAGAACGACTTCCAAAGAAGAGAAGAAGAAAGAAAATAAGGTAAAAAACACGAAGGGAAGAGACAATATCACAATCAAGTTACCACCAATTTGCACATAACTTGTATTGACAAAAGAAAATGTGAATAAATTAATGGCCATTGCTTCCTATAATTTCTAAACTACCTATTGGCTTTGCAATCTTATCAATTCAATCTTTACAAACAACAATAATAAATTCAATTATAATTTCGATTCAATATTTATTTTGAACATGATGTAGTCGGTGGAGGCAACTTATTCCTGTTCAATATAATAATGTTTGAAATTGTCAAATTTTATCTCAATGAACTCTAAGGAAGCAATTTGTTTACTGATAATAACGATAGTGATAAAGACATTACTGTTGATGATGATCTAAGTGAAGTTGATGCAAATTAATTTGAGAACTTGGAACCTCTAGAACAACCTGAGTAACTTACAGATCGCATGGACTAACAAGAAACAAATAGACGATTAGACTTAAAGGACAAAGGAGAGGAACAACGAGAGAAAAAGGGAAACCTTATTCACCTTCCATTTCCTAATAACCAATAGCAAACCTCTTGAATTATCTGAGTTACTTATTTACACCACCCATCAACTTGTCAAGTTCAATTTAGCAATCCATAAATTCCCAAAACACAAGCACGCACTTAAATTAGTAACTCATCATTCTATAAAACAAGAGGCCATATAATATAAAACTTAGCTGCATACATATAAAGAGAAGCTCTTTTAATGAGAAAAAGATAAGCATAAGCTAGATTTTTCATTTAAGAGTTCATCCTATCTATATCCCCAAAATTTATCCCCACGAATCATATTCCTAATTGTATAGCATTTCCCTAACCAATATCATAAATGATTTACTAACTGAATGCCAACAAGAACAAGAACTACAAAAACATCACAAATTACCTCAGCAATGGGGTCCTTGAGAGCCTTTCGGTTGACCCGAAACCGAATTCCGAGCTTCTCCAGCTGCCTAGACAAAACCCGAATAATTGTAGCCGAGTTTCGCAAATCCTCCTCCACTTTCTCCACCCTCTCCAACAAATTAATCCCGGAAGCAGAAGCCCTCGATAATCCAACACCACAAATCCTCCTCCATTGCCGCTGCCTTATCACAGCTCCGACCACCACTCCACTTACCAAAACCACACACTGCCACACCAAAATCTTGCTCCCGAGCCACCCTACAACCCCCTTCTGCGTCCCATAGATAACCGCAATGTATATCGAACTCACAGCCGAGGATGCAAGGCAAAGAAATTCAAGAATTGAAAGAAGTGCATCGAAATTATACTCACCACTGATGCTTCCTTTACTGTTATCTTGCTTCCGTGCTGTTTCAAACGAATCTTGAAATGATGCTTTGACTTTTCTAACGTACAAAAGGTGATTGTAGGTAAGCAAACTTTGGGAATTTGGGAAATGGATTTTCGAATTCGGGATTAAACATGCGAAATTGGAGGATTTTAAGAAATGGGTTCGCGAAAGAGTGGTATGAGATGACCTAGGATTCTTGTTCGTGAAAAGGGTTTGAAACGTAAGGGACATTGTTTCTTCCTAGAGTAAAATTGATCGTTTGGTTAATGTGCGTCAGGATGTTTGGATTGTAAAGAATTTCATGGTTTTGGATCTACAAAATATCAACTTCGAAGAGGAACGTGAAGCTGAAATGCTAACTTCAACTGGAGAATGGGGGTTAAGCTGAGGCAGGTGTGTGTAGAGGGACGGACCCAGCACAACATTTCAGCATGCGCGGATCAAATATTGACAGTTGATTGACCGTCTACTCTAAGGAGATCGTTTATTAATATATAATTAAATAATATTAAAAATTATTCAATATATATCTAAACGCACTAAAATGTAAAAATTATATATATGAAAACGTAATTCAATACAACCCAAAATATTAAAGAAATATGCGATACAACTAAATAAGTGTGATATTAGACAACTACAATGTTTTGAAAACGTTGCAATATTGTCTCATTCGTAATTCAAACAATATTGCAACATAAATTATTTACCCCAAATGGCCAAATCACGAATTCAGAAATTCACAAACAAATCAGTGAAATGTGAAATCACAATTCAGTTCTCATTTCAAATTTTCA